GGGGTGTGGGGGGCGGCGGGGCGCCCTCGGGCCGCGGCGTCTCCTCCTCCATGTTGACGGCATGCTCCGTGTTCTCCATGATCTCCTGCATCAGCTTCCGCTTCTGGTACTCGGGGCCTGCGGAGAGAGGGGTTGGCATGAGGAGCTGCCCCGGGGGCGAGAGGGACAGCAGGCCACCCCAGCGCCATGCCACCAGCGCGCCTTTGACAGCCCTGTTCCCAGCCCCGACGGGTTTGGGGATGACTGCGAGAGTGTCCAGGCTGGAGGCTGGGAGAGGAGGTGCTCCTACACCAGACCCTGCTTCCAGGAGGGATTCCCTCCAGCAGCGGCCGGAGGCTCCGAGCCCCACCTCGTCCTGTCCAGCTGGGGAGAGCTGGGGGAGCAGGCGGGGAGCTCCAGATGAAGGTAAAGAAACAGGTCAAATCTGCAGCCCAGCTTTCTGCGGTCACACAGATGGGTTATCCTGGGGCTAAAGAGGATCCAGCTCCCATCCAAGTTTCTGTTTTTTTTTTTTTTTTAATGGCTGAGAAACTCTTCCATGTGGCTTCTTTGGTGTCTAATAGTGTGGCAACTTCACAAGTGACACGGGGGATGCCCAGTCTCCTCCGGAAAGGCAGGTATCCACAAATGATCTACCTGTCATCCCTCATGACGGGAAAAACACGTTCCTCATGCAGGGAGGAGGGCTGGCAGCTTCAGAGCCCTCCTCCCTGCACGGAGCCCCACAACAGCAGCAAAATTACCCTGGCACCAGCACACGAGGAGACTCAGGGCTTCGGCTTTCGTTCTGGCCTCATCTCCCACACTAACTTGTCAGCTCTTAGCAACGTTGCCCTCGCTTCAATTATTCACCTATCATTAAATCTTTACTTCTTGTTAACTCTAGGCCATGTCTGCAATGCAAATTGCAGCCCAGCTAGGGTCTGGGGAAGTCAGCCAGAGCCTGACACTGAAGATATCCATCGTGCTGGGCGGCTGGCTGAGCAAAATCCACCACTGAACAACTGGGAACATCTTTTGGAATAACAACCCTGCACAGTGCTCTGCACGCCGGGACCCGCGCTGGGACAGGGGTCCCCGCACGCCGCCGTGATGCTTAGAGCAAGCGAGAACGAGAAGAGCACGCTCCTTAGGAGCAGCGCGAGGTCACAAAGCAGCTTGTTTTAAAGTAAAGCATCTGCTTTTGAAAGTGGCTTTGGCCTCCTTCTGCTGAATTCAAGTGATGCTGAGGGGTGCAGAGGTTCAGGGCTTGCTCTGTGCTCCTGAACAGCCCAGACCCTGGAGCCGTGCCGTTCCCAGCTGCCTCGCGGTTCCTCCCCTCATCTCCTCCACCCCAAGGACTGATGCAGACTTGAGCCTGGTCGGGAAATCGGGACCGGTGCTCCTTTCCCTCTAATAAATCAGCGGTGTGGTTTGCATGCTGCTACCTCCTGCCCACGCAGGCAATGCCTGCGCTCGGAGGGGGCAGCGGGGAGAAAGAGGGCACTGGTTTTAGCTGCTCTGCCCTGCCTGCACACTCCTGTCAATCAGCAGGTGACCCATTCAGGGCCATTTATTTCTGGCTGCAAGTGGATGATTTGGAAGCCATTTCAACAGTTGTTCAGACTCCTCAAAATAGGCTGCCCGCAGCTCCAGGCTCCTTGCTCTCTCCTGCTGCTTTCTTCTCCTCCTGAATAATTCACACCAGAAAACCCCAGCTGCCTGGAGGGCACCGCGCAGCTCCGATCCTCCTCACCTCCCAGCACAACATTTCAGCAAGGGCTTTGGCTTACAACCCTCTCCTCTAAGCTATTCAGATTGATATCCTAAATGAAACCCCGGGCTCAATAATTATTGGAGATATGAGGCTTGCTGAGCAGGATTGCCCTGTGCCATAGCAGGGCCTCTCTGCCCGGAGAGCATGGGGGAGCGCAGCTGCCGAACGCTGCCAGGCTCTCCTGGCTCTGTGATCAGCAGCTCCAAGTCCTAGCAAGATCCAAGGGTGGACTTCTGTCTGTTTGCTCCTGGACGGTGCAGCCATGCAAGAAGAGACATTTCCCCTTGTTGTGCACATAGGGAATTTAGAGATGTAAAAGAATCACAGAAGAAAAACATGCATCAGTGGCTCACAAGGCCACTGAGAGAGGCCAGGACCCAAGCGAAGCCCTGCATAAAAGCAGTGAGGGGATTCAGCACCCGAGGAGCCAGGAGCGGAGGCCAGGCTGCTTCAGGCATTTTGCAGAGACCATTTCAACTGTCTCATTCAATTGCCATGGGTGGAAAAAATAATCTAGCTAGATGTCAAAAACCTCCCATCAGGAATTCCAGTTTCCTTTGCCTCTGTGCTATAAATACCCCAGTGTGCAAAGGGTGAATGTGGAGCTGTGAGTGGCAGCTGGGGGGCTTATGTCAGGATCAAGCGAGGGTTAGCTATTGTTAAATGAAGTGCCATGCGCTGGCTCACGCCCGTGCCCGGGCATTGTGGTGTTTCCCCACCCAAAGCCAGCTCCGACGGGCATCGCGGGCGGTGGGGAGGAGCGGGCAGCCCTCCAGCACGGCATCTCCCCAGCTGGTAGGTGCAGGGCAAGGTGGGAGTACAGGGAATTCAGGCAAATCTGCCAGCATGACTCTCCCCAGCCAAGCGCTGGGTGTGAGCCGTTCCCCTTTCCCGCTGCCGGGGTGGAGTACCAGAGACACCGAAATCAGAGCAGGAGCAGGCGGCAGGTTCTGCTGAGCAGGAGTCAACCTTTGGTTTCTATCCCCAGTTTCGCTGCTGTGATGGTCCCTTGTGATCCTGCCTCAGCAGCCACTGGGCACTTGTTCCGGATAATAAGATAGAAAGGATAAAAATGTAGGCACTTGGATCCTTGCTTTCTGCTCCGTTATTACCTTCCCTCTCTGGAAAGGAAAGCTTTCCAGGAAGAACATATCTCTAGCTAACGTGGTCTAGGGAAAGGTAATGTCATTCACAGTGCTGCTTCTAATATTACACTTCCTATCTACTAATCCTCGGTGCTTGGTCTCACAGAAGGAACCTCCCAAGTGTCTTCCCAGCCAAATAATCAGCAGTGATGCTAACAAATAAATAAGGAATCAGGGAAGTGGTATTTTGCATTAGCAACTTTCTTGTAGGGTATTACAGCCCCTAATTAGCCGAGTCTGATCGTCCCCTGGTGCGGTGTGGGGGCCCACAGGACACGGCCTTGGGAGTCAACGTGCAAAGCTGTTCCAAGAAAAAGCCAGGAGGGATATATCTGCAGGAGCGCTGCAAATAGACCCGAGCTTGCTGCCTGCCCTGCCTGGCACTGGGAGTGCTTCAGCCAGTAAAGAAACACGAGGGGAAGGTGAGGGACTGTGGGTTTTTCCTCCAGGCTACGGTAAGATATTCCAGCAGGTAAAACAGCGGCGTAAGGAGGACAGCAAATCCTCCAGGGCAGGGGGCTGGCTCAACATGCGTGAAAGAGGATTTAGGGTAGACAGGAGAGCAACTTGTGGAGTTATAAAGCGGGTGAAGCATTTGAACAGATTCCCCAAGGAAACTGCAAAATCCCTCTTAGAAGATGCCTCTGGTCCTACCTGGCTGGTAGAAGTCCGGGGAGAGCTCCCTGGCCATCATTCTGGCTATGCCCGATTCGTTGTTAGCTGCCTGAGCTGCCTGCTCAGACCCTTCGGCCTTGGCTTTGGCATGAGCCGTCCTGCGGAGAGAAGAGGGCACAACAGTGAGCACCGTCCGAGCCAAGGCTGTCCCAGCTCGAGCAGCGGACCCTGTCCAGCGACAAAATCAAATCAGCCCATCTGGCATAACAGCACTCGGCGCTTGCCCACTGGACCCAAAAACCCCACGCGTGAGGAGAAAGGCCCAGATTTCCAACAAGTGAGGGGCACAGATGCTTAAAGGCTACGGTGTGAGGGTTGCATGTAGGCACGGAAGGGAACAGGGCAGGTGTATTTGCAAACGTGAGCATGTTCATGTGTTGCAGCGAGGCAGCAGGTGCTGCAAAACGGGCTTGCCGCCATGCTGCGAAGCACTGAAAACCTAGCTCAGAGGAATGCCCAAAGCATGACCACAGGCATTGTTGGAGCAGAAGGGGACAAGAACGTGAAGGCTGAACACCGCTGTGCTGTCACCAGCCCTGAGCTGCTGCACCTCGCCAGAGGCAGCGTGCCCCTGCCAGGCACGCTTTACCCCAAATGTCTCTCCCATAGCTCTCACACGCGTTGTCCAAGGGGCTCCTTTACTCGCCGCAGCCCGCGGGGCTGCTCTCACCGGTGCTAGGAAAGGCAGAGCTATTGCCTCCCTCTCAGCTTGGCTCCCCGAGTCCTCTCCGCTCCTTCCCAGCGCATCTCCTCCTCGCTTCAGAGGGCTATAGGGCTACCAGAGTTATTTCGCTGGCCGGCTGTCATATTCCTCGCATGCCTCGCACTCGGGGCTCTCTGATCTTGATGCTAAAAGCAGGGCTGGCTTTACAGCCCAGCTGCTCGCAGTCTGGGAAGGAGCTGACTTCAAACAGCAAAATCACACCTCAAAAAGAAGGAAGGGTAAAGCACCGTACACTCAGCTGCTTTGTTCCACTCGGGACTTGCGGAGAGCTGCTTTCCCCATGCTCTCACTATCGTCTTTCCCGAGGCTCCCCGTATCTCCCCTGCTGCACGTAATGGAGCGTATGCTGGCTGCACATGCAAAACCACATATTTTTGTGTGGATAGTTAGATAAGCGGTTAGCAGCCCTCAAACACCAATTCACTACGAATGACAACCTTTAATGTGGTCTTAGGGTGGCTGATGAGCCCTTTTCAGACTCGGGTTGGTATCTGGCCATGTTTTAGGACAAAAAAATGAGGAAAGACGCAGTTCTCATCCCTGCAGTGAACATGAATAGCTGCAGGGAAAAGAACTAAACGTAGGGCATTAATGCCAGCTGATACAGGCAACGGTGTGACTTGACGGGGAGCCGAAAACACTGTTCAGGGCCCTGCGATAGAGAAGAGGGTGCGGAGCTGCTGTGGCTCAGCCCGTCTCTCCCCAGGATGACATCCCGCTCCGCTGGAGCCACGGTTCACCTCCCTGCCCACACTCCTGCGTTATCTCCCCGCTTTCTCTGCAGGCTGAGCTGCCTGGGATTGCTCTCATTCTTGGCCTTTTTATCCAAAATTATTACCGCTCCTGAAAAACCCAGAGGCAAGCCATGATGAGGCAGAAAACAGACATTTTAAGCCGTTGCTCACAAGCAGGAGGTCTGAGGCAGCTCTGACCAGAGAAAGCACCTCCTTTTTTGGTAGCATATAATCAGTGTGATTAATTCCACTATAATCTGGCAGGGGCCAAGGGGGGATGTTTCTGTGCTCTCCACGTCTGGGGGATCAGAGCGGGCTGGGTGTGCTGCACGTGGGGCACACAGCCTGCCCGGCGCCAGGAAGAAGTTTGCAAAGTGAGGATCCAGCTCTTCACCCCGGCAGGACATGCTCCGAGCCCTGGCTCTGTCCTGCTGCTCTCGGAGGACGGGATTCACCATACAGAGAGAAAATCCTCCCTTTCAGCTGCTGGCTGAGCCAGGCAGAGGCTATCCCAGCCACTTCCCAGCCAGCTGGCCCCAGCTGGGGGAGCAGCAGGCAGCTCCTGGCAAGCAGGTGGATGCTTTCCTAAAGGTGACTTCCAAAAAAGTAGTCTAGAAGTGGACTGGATGCAGGGTCTGCTCCCTCCGCTAGTAAGGACAGAGCCAGACTCATGCCGATGTGTTACCAAATGGGTGCAGATGGCTCCCGCGTGCTCGGCTCTCCCCCAGCATCTGGGGCCAACGCAAGGGAACAGCCTGGGGGTGTCGGAGGTGACAAGGCAGCTCCCAGTTACGCTCTTCTCCTGCTGGAGATTTCCTTTCCTCCAGAGAAGCTGCTGGATGCTACCTGGCTATTGAGCACTGCAGTTCCTGTGGGTAAAGAGATGGTGTGGCCAGAAAGACCCCAGCTTGGCTTGCAGAGGCTGCGGTGAGGACGCTGTGGGTGCTGAGGAGCTGAGGCAGCTGGGCTGAGCCATCGCTGCGAGCCACCGTGGCCCCAAGGCTAGCAGGGCTCTACAAGGAGCCCTCCTGGGCACTGAGGGGGACCACGGGGCAGCTCCCGAGCTCCACACACGGAGTTGTGACAGCAAGCTGAGCGGCAGGGCTTTGGGATCCCCCGCTGCCCTGGGGATGCGAGCTGCGTGGCAGCTCTGCCCGTCTCCTTCCGTCGCTGAGGTCATTTATTACAGCAGCAGCCGGGTGATGAATATCTGGCTTATGGAGGCACAGCCTGGTGTTTTAAGTACATCTCCCCTGGCTGTGCCGCGCATCCCTGGGGCACGAAGGGAAGGCGCTGCTGCTCGCAGCCCTCCAAAAAGCCACGCTGAGGGTTTAGTAACACCCTGACAAAGCACAGCCTGGAGGAAAGGGCCCAGCCACAACACCACCACCTAACTTGCCTAGAGTATTTCTGAATTTATTATTTATCTGCACAGCTGGCAGTGCCTGTGAGCTCAACGCAGAGAAAAACTTGGCCCCAGCGGCAAAGCAGGAGACAAATACCAGCGGCCCTGGGAGAGCCCCGCGCATACAACCCGCTGCTCAAAAGCCTCTCCCAGCCCACGGCCGGGGTCTGCTGGGCCCACTAGTTCCAAACAAAAAGCTGAGGCAGTTTGAGGGAGGCAGGGAGGTGATCTTCAAACCTTAGACATGAAACATCTAAGAGGAAAAATTTCTTCCAATGTTAAGATCTGCTCAAAAAATAGAAATCAGCTTTTGCAAAAAGGAAAATGCTGTCCTTTTATTATATGCAGATAAATTTGATACTTTTCAGGCAGCACTTGAATCAGGGCCATGCTTTTTTATTTACTGCTGGTTGTGCTGTCAGCTGCCAGCACCTCTGCAGAAAGCAGCCCGTGCAAAAAACAGCAGAGGAGAAAGTCTGGAGATGGAGGAGGTCAGGCTGAAACTGAAATGGCCCACGGATTTTATAGCACCCAGCAGCAGAATTCAAAAGCCCCTTTCCAAGGCAGCGCTGGAAAATGAGCCATGAACATTGAACATGTCCAACTGGGAGCAATAAACACAAAGAGGGGACTCTACAAAGCAACGCCGGTGCTCCCCGGCCCCAGCGAGGCAGCACCGCCCGGGTGAGCGCTTCCCAGTTTCACCCTGAGCCATCTCCCCAGGCAGCGCCGTTAAAAATAGCTCCGGTGAATTCTTTGGAATTCTGGGCAATGGCTGCAGCCCCTGTCCCAGCCCCGCTGCCGCTGGGTCGCGGCGGCAGCTCCGGAGCAGCCCCGGGCAGGGAGGCTTCATACCCCAGCTGGACGGGTTGGCGAGGGAGGGTTAAATGCATCTGCTGTTTTATTTGCTCCTCTGGCACGGCTCTAATGCTCTAATTGTTTTTGTACTAGTGCAGGACAGAGCAGCGCTCCTGTCCTTCCTGGCCCTCTCCCAGAAACGCTGCCCGAACCATTCCTCTGACTGCTGCCAAAATCCCCTGTGGATACCCGAGCCGCCGCTGAGCGCCACGCTAACAGGTGAGACCCAAACCCAAACCCGCACGCCCGTCTCTTTGGACAGTTTATGCAGTTTTGCACATCCACGTTGGATTAGACTGTAAATGAGATTGGAATTAGCAGAGAATACTGCAAATACCAGAGAGGGCTGGGGTGCCTGCAGGTGCGGCGATGACCTTGCGGCTAGAAACAGGGGAAGAGCTCAGCTCTCTGCCCAAGCTATTGCACATTTACTTATTAAGGGAAAGACAGCCCCGTCCAGCACCGTCCTTCCTTCTCCAGGGTCTCCCTCATCCCACTGATTCAGCAAACCCTGAGGAAGGACCAGCTGAACACCTTTTTCTTGCCATTCTCAATACAATAAGCTGCAAAAAAGGTCATTACGCAAATAAAATTCATCAGTTGGCTCTAGGAAGGAATACTTCTGCTAAACTCCCCTCTCCTGGAAAGTGGCTTTTCCACCCCCAGCCAAATTCCTGCTCCAGTATCTAGCAGGAATCACTTTGTCCTTCTGAAGAAACTTAAGATAATGGTTTGTCTTGGCAGGAATGTTTGCAGCCCTCAAAAGGGACACAGGGAAAGCTGCAGAAGTGCTTCTGCTGACGGCAGCGTGGTCCCTTCTGCGTTCACATCGCGAAGGGCAAGGACGCAGACCTGACCAACACAGACCTGTGCTGGGGGCTGGACTGGGTGACCTTTGAAGGTCCCTTCCGACCCAAGCCATTCTCTAATTCTACGACCTGAGCAGGACAGGCACTTTCTGGCTTCTCTGTTTTCCACATTGTCTTTGGACTTGTGTCACCTCTCTAGTTGGAGCCTCCTTTTCTTCCTGCTTAGTCCCAATCCATCTCCTTTGTGCCTCTCCCTCCACGTGCCCACAGATAGCAGCAAAGCTCTGCTGCCCTCATTTGCCTGGAACCAGCCCGTGGGACTGAATTTCCCTTTTCAGTTCATCGCTTGTGCCACTTTCCCTGCCCACACTCAAAGCCATCCGTGTGTCCCACCCCACGGGCGGCCTGCCCTGAGCGCCAGCTGTTCCTTTACCCTCCTTTCGCTCCATCACTCGTGTGCACGCACCCACTCAATTTAGACTCCGATAACCCCGGGGTGCGTGAGTCTTTGCTGGTTTACATTATGGACTCTGCACCTGCAAGGTGTGATCTAAACGGTGAATTAAGC